ATGTGTCATATTTTGCTATATTCGAGGTGAGAACGACCACACAACCGGTTGTCGGTTTACACGAATTTACTCATAATCTCGACCGCGGACTTCAAAAGTGTCCCCTTGCTAAAATGCAGTAAGAAAGAGGTAGACGTTACTATTTCAACTTCACCGTGTAAGCCTACGGGGTTTTCACGCGTTGAGGAAAGCGCTGTGGAACCCGGAGTTGAAAAACAAATTGCTAATTTATTTTAGTCTGCGGTAACGTTGTTCATTCACATTTTACACAGATTTATTTGTTTACATTGTTTAGAAAGTTCTGAAATGAACGTCACGTGATTTTGGCGAGAATAACGCACTAACAGTTTGATGGTTAGTCACAGGCGCGCTCCATAACTAGAGGGCGACGTACAGGTGGTTTTCCGTACAACTGCGAGATCTCGCAAATTGAATTAAAGACGCGCGCCGAACGTCTGCCGCAAAAATCGAACGATCTGATTTTTAACTCAAATTTCTTTATTTCGTAGCTCACATCGAAAGGCCGATCTTTGACGGGGCAAATATTTCGTTTGAATACCCTTACATCAGTCGAAATTGACCATCATCAAATGTGTACAGCACAATATTAGGCATAGAAATATCCCCCAAAATACTTTAGCGTTTGTCAACTCGGAATCTAACGCGATGTTCGTCGCCACTACGACGCTAGTTTGTCCTGTTTTTACGTTCGATTTCACGCATAAGGCGAGATCTCGCAGTGAATGGTCTATTGGAATGGCGTATCGCCGTTCGGTTTCACCTCCATACTTGCATATAGTATGTTTAATTATGTGTATAACCATATTTGCATACCACGGAGAATGTCTGTAGGTAGCAACCGGTAGTTTCTGTAAGCCGTGTCCGTGGATTTTCTTCACTTTTTTTTCAACGAATCCTTACTTTTATCATAGTTTACTTCGATTTCACAGTAGTCCACATTTTGAACTTAAAGAAACTGAAAAAAAACAGCAAGTGTTGGATGACGTTATCATGGCTAGTATCCACCTGCATTAAAATAACGCAAATACTAATAAAGAAATGTTGTATTACTATGAAAAGCAAACATCGCTTTTCCCTCTTAGAGGGCAAAGTTCGCAACACAAATATCACGACGTGGCCCTCTAAGTGAATTATTATACAAATATAATAAATTATAATAAAGTATACAATATATACGGTACAACTGAGACGAGAGACACTTCGCGGTGGTAAGGTATAAAATGGCTACCATCAACAGTGCTAAGCCGCAGACGAACAATAGAGCTATGGACGACATTTCGGACGGCGGGAAAGCGGAGAAGACGGTAACCGTACTATATTATTTTACTGTAGACACACGATATTATCTTCATTACCTCATTTTAGACTACTGCTAGCAACTCCGCAATTAACGGGAGGGAGGATTGTACCAATATAAACTTGAAAGGGGTAAACGTGTCTGTTTTGAAACCAGCATATGCATAATCCAATGCTAAGCTCACCCATCTTCCCTATTGTAAAATTTTTCACTTCAGGAAAGTAGTTTGTAATTTTTAAAAGGGGCACATTTTATACGGTTTACGCTACCCATGTGAGTATGTGCCGTCTTCCCATAACACATATACAGGTATACCTTTATATGGAATGTCAGCCGACACACCCAGTCACTGCCCTCACTCCAGCCACATTGTACCCACAGCTTGAGATATTTATATGTTATCATATTGCCGCATGATAAAAGCAGCAAGCTACAAATGTTAGTGTACATGTCGTGTGTGTACACAAACTGGCATATGATCGAGGGTAGGTGTTGGTGGACATTATTATGCTCACCGGATAACACATCTTGTCGTCAATAGAGATCAAATGTCACAAATAATTTCATACAAGATTACCCATACATAGAAATTAATGTTTATGAGTTAGCTACAATGCTTACCTCTTGAGCCAATCACTATTACTTTTTTTAATTGGAATGGGAGCTGATCATCAGTATTTACATTTTTTATAAATACTGTAAACGGATTAATTATTCACTTTTAATTTTGATTATTTCACTGACTGGAAAATGCGCTAAATTAAAACCCAGTGAATATATAAAATTTAGCATAGAACACATTATCTAAATGATAAAACAGTGAATTTAAACTCACTGATTATGCCTGAAATGCTAAATCCGTGAGCGCAATTTAAACCTAGTGAAAATTAGTCATTTTACAGTATTTATGTTTATGAGCTAAGAAAAGCGTTATGCCATTCATTTCACACAGCTATTTAAAAAAAGTGTTAACAAAAATAACTGTATTTCAAATGATCCGCCTATAATCTATTTAAGTAAAACTTTGCTCACCGTTTACAAGAACCATTATCCGACTCGGTTATATAATATTTTACTGACTGACATTGTGTTTACATGGAATGATGGTCATTACATTTGTGCTCGCAACTAACGACATTTTTGTCAACGACGATGTTAGAATCTATGCTAATGTAGCAGTATTTATTTTTATTGTTTCGTAAAACTTTAACTTTACAAGTGAATTGACTATGCGTGGAGGTAAAAAAAAAAAGATGTAAATGTCGCTCGCTGGTTTCTCTAATTAGTTGATTTTTTCTGGAAAAATCCGAGCCATTATTTTAGTTTTCAATGTGTTTTATCTAATTGAACAGCTCGCGGTTCTCATTTCCGAACGTTGACGATGAGTGTATGATGCTATTTACCCGTTACTAATTACTACTAATGATTGACACACAAATACATGGTACTGCTAAAGCATTTATTTTCACTGGCATTTAATTTCATTATTTTGATATTTTGAATGATTTCACTAACTTTTAAGTTCACAAACTTGGCATGAAAACATGTTCACGTGAATTTAATTTAGCAAATTTTCAAATCAGCGAAAATAACGAAATTAAACTGAATTGAATTGAAAACTAGTGAATAATTAAAGCGCGGTGGTCGTCGCGCAGCGCGTGTTTGATTTTCATGTAAATAAACAATGTGTTTTACACGCGTTGTATACGTCGCTATGAGTCCCATATCGAACAAGACGCGGCACGACGACTGCCGCCCTTTAATGTGCTTACAGTATCGATTCAATATGACTACGCGACAGGACAGGGTGACCTTCTCCCTGTCAAAATGACATTACATCAATTCAGTGCGCCATCCCGGGGTCAACCAGGCCAGGTCGCAACAGTACATGCGAACTTGCATGTTCTACCAAAGTCACACCAATTTATAGTGAACCACAAAGCTATTGGTGGCTGGACAAAGTAGTATTTACTAGGTTGTACAATTATTTAGTACGGGCGTTGTCTTCTCTTGCGAAAATTTCAAGATACTGTTGCCTATGTGATTACCACCACCTCTATTTATGACACGTGAGAACGCGATAGCTGGTGTATTTGAATATAGATTTGTTAAGTAAACGGTCATAAATGCTGTAGAGTCATCGTCATATGTGGATACATGCTAGCTTTTATGATATATTGTTTATATGAAGGCGATACTGGTTTATAAGTTATATGTAAAAAAAGGTCACTGTTGAAAAGCTGGCAAAATAAGCTTTCATGTGGTATATAACATGACAAAATTAACTTATTTGTTAGTGGTGTAATTTATTGTTTACAATTCCTATAAATCATGGTGCAGCGCCATCTTAAACTCGTCATGCAGCGCATGTTCGATTATCTGCGCATGTTGTATACGCAGCATAGACCCACATCGGACAAGGCGCGGCAGACGACTTTAACGCTTCAAATATAATAATTACGGTATTCTGTCACCAGTGCCGACATTAATTTTACAAAGAAATGCCTCTGTATTTTACTTCGCCGCACAGTTTGGTTATTTATTTTATGGTTTAATGGGGTATACACAAATATGTAAAGATACAATGTAAACACAAGCAGCTTAGAATCATAAATCAAATCTGATATTCTGACATATTTATTTGTTTGAGCAAAGGTTTTGTTAATATAAACGCCACCCTGCATAAAAGTCACGTTGATGCAATGCTCTCTCGCTTCGCAGTATCTTGTGAGAGGGGAGGCAAGGTGGGTAGCTGGTACGGTTTTACGGAAAATAAAAAGGGCTTTTTACAATTTAGAAGAAAAAAAAAGACGTTTTTACAGTTTACAGTGTTAAAAATGGAACATCGAATGGTCCGAAGAGCTCTCCGACTCGAATTCTCCGCCATTACTGTGCCGTGTGTAGAGACGCATGCGCATATTACCCTCGCAATGCTCTCCATTCGGTTAGAGGGCCTTTTACGTCTTGACAATCAATTTTGTAGTGAATTGTGTCATCTAGTCGTTTTACAGTTTCTGAAATGTAATTTCCCTGGATTATTTTTTACGATTTTTTTATTTGGATGTAAATTCTTGTACGTACCGAGAAAAATGACACATTTTTACAGTGTACGAACAAAATATTTGATTGATTACGTTGTACGTCTAGCCTGTGATTACAGAATTACGGAATTAATTTTTACTATTTACGTTGTACGAACAAAAAAATATTGCAATTAGTACGTTGAACGAAAATAACCCTTGCCCCCTCTTGTGAGACACATTCGAAAAAAAGCCTTTGTCATGTGATAATGATTTTGTAGGGATCCTGAGTCAAAATGGAATCCTCAATTCCAAGTTCAGACAACTTGTTGGCTGCTGGGGTAGTCGGTCTTCAAGAAGAACAAAATACAATTGTATGTGGCTGTATAACTTCAGGCAAAAAAAATGTCAAGTTGTGGCTTCTGATTTGTTTCGTTTTTACACCTATTTTGTTTATAAAATGTGAATTTCATTTTATCAAATTACAAATTCCATAACTACAGTAAATTCACTGTACCAATATACGACATTTTGTTGCGTCAATGACGAGTGAACGAATTAGCACAACTAGTTGCGTTACAGCAAATCTTCGTGCACCAGGAGGGCGTCCTATCGGCTTAGGAACCAGAATGGTAACCACTCAAGTTTGCTACAACTAACTATAACAAGTTCAGAAACGTCCCTCGGCTTCTCTGGAACCGTGATAAGTGGAACTTTGTTGCATGCTTCTAATCATGATTTTATGTTTTAACAACACACCTGCAAAAGTTTAATACATTTATAGTTTAATTGTATTGTCTCTGCGTGTGATATTGTGCGTGACGATGTTTTGAAAATATGTATTGTATGCATCGTTGACATTTTATATGACTTGCATATTTCAGGGCCGTCTAACACCATGGGTTGCATATGCGACGTTTGTGGTCTGTTCGTTCTCTTCTCTCCAGTTTGGATATAATACTGGAGTTATGACAGCGCCATCTAACGTAAGTTATTTTCTTACTCCAAATACAGTACAGACTAGAAAACACTTCGAGACTACAAACCTCTCACCGCCGATTATCTTCACAATGACCCCATGTGGCAATAGTGATGAATCTTTTGCAAACGTCCTGTCTTTTATCGCAACCGGAATTAGATTTCTCCCAAATATATAATCCATTGGTCCGTTCTCAAGAACAATTCCTTCTAAAAAAATCAAGAAAATTTGACCACAACCTTTGAGTTGCCTGGCAATGGGAAAGAATCCTTCCAACAATCATCATTTCTATGTTAACCGGTCTTCGAAATTCTAATGTATTGGTCTTTGTCTCAAGAGCAACAGCGCCTGTAACATTGTTTAAGTTTTCTAACAATTACTTTTCTAACAATTATGAATTACTCTTAAATATCTCCATGGCAACCAGAACCAGAACTTTTCCAAAATAAAATTGTTTCTTGTGTCACCGGCAATTAAGAATTTCATGAAAATTTTCTATTTGAGTTATCTTGCCATGTTGGAGAATCCTTACACAAGTTCCTATCTCCATTGGCACCCTCAGGCTCTCCAAAAGGGGTCATAAATTCGCCCATAACTGTTTGAGTTATCTGGCAATGGGAAAATCCTTCCAGTATATGTTAAAATCTAATCTTATCCATATCTTTCCCGAAATATAATTGATTAATCTTGTCCAAAAAGCAACCACTTCGGAAAAAAACATCGTCCGCTGACAGAAAGAGTGAAATTCGTTAAATTGAGTATTTTTGTTATTGTTATTAAATTGGGTATTATTATTTTAACTACTGATTAATAAAATTCATGGTTTTTTTTATTTAGTATATAGAAGACTTTTTAAATTCGTCTTACACTCGCTATGGAACGATATCTGACACTGGATTGACTTGGTTATATGCTTTAACCGTATCTCTATACACCGTTGGTGGCGCCTTTGGTGCTCTTGCAGCGGCGCCTATGGGCGATATACTCGGAAGGTGCGTTTAAAGTGCGTTTATATATTGTGTCGTGTCGTGTCGTATCTCATCTCATCTCATCGCATCGCATCGCATCGCATCGCATCGCATCACACTTGCATTGTATTGTATTGTATTGTATTGCCTAAGTTGCATTGCATTGCATCGCACAGCACCGCATTACATTACATTGCATCGCATTGCATCGCATTGCATCGCATTGCATCGCATCGCATCACATCGCATCGCATCACATCGTATCGCATCGCACCGCATCGCATCGCATCGTATTGTATTGTATCGTATTGCAATGTACTGTTTAATTTTAAACTAATAGTAATGTAACTACCGGCACTACTTCATTTTTATATCAATTAGGAAAGGTGCACTACTTCTAAACAATGTGTTTTCTATATCTGCTGGATTAATGATGGGTTTCTGTGATTATGCAGATAACTTTGAACTGTTGATCATGGGAAGAATCATTATTGGATTCTATGCAGGTCGGTGACGTCACATTTTTTGCTCGATGAAATGCATGTCAAATTAATTGTTTAAATATAACCTTGAAATTGTATTCAGAAAAGAAAAACATTGTGTCCGGTTACAATTTGTACTTCCTGTTACTCAGCGTAGCTGTATCGGTGTCAGTGATGATACACCGTCCCTGATCGTATACGTATACTAGCAATCTAGATAACAAATGACCAATCAGCACGCGTTTTAGATCGGATCGCTGATTTCGACAAGTAGATTGGTTCATTGTAATGAAAGAGAGGCACACTGATTGGTGCATTCGCAAGATACTGAATACTACACGTAATTATCAGATGCCGCAAAAAATTTTAAGACGATTATAAATACCTGGGGTATATGTACTTACATTACATTGCATACATGTGTTCAAACCACTGTTGTGTCACATCATAGATATAAAAGGAGCTTGATCATGTCCACAATTGCGTGGTTTCTATATTTGTTATAAACCTATATATATTTCGCCATTTCGCCATTTCCAAGTAAAAAGGTTTGTTAACAGGCGTCCCCATCAATATTCTACCTATTTTTCTTGCTAGGCGTCGCCATCACTATTGTACCTTTGTTTTTGGCTGAAATTTCTCCCAAGAGCATCCGTGGCGCCGTGGGAGTCAATCACCAGCTGGCCATCACTGTTGGAATATTGATCGCACAGGTGAGATGCATGCTGGGTAGTAACGATCGCCTCGCGAAAGTTATAAAAAATAATTATATATTATTGGTTGTCAATGGTGACTGTTATCAAATGCGACTGTAGCGGAAGTCCACTGTGAATTGTATGTGGATATGCTGTCATTAAAGTCGCGTTCATTGTGATCCAATAGGTGATTTTCCGTTCAACTGCGAGATCTCGCGAGTTGCGTGAAAGACGCGCGTCGAACGTCTGCCGCAAAAATCGAACGATTTGATTTTGAACTCGAATTTCTTTATTTCGTAGCTCACATCGACCAGCCGCTCTTCGACAGAGGAATATTGCTTTCGAATACCCTTACTTCATCGAAATTGTCTATCATCAAATACAGCACATTATTAAGAATGGAAATATCCCCAAAATACTTTGGCGTTTGTCGAATCCCACGCGATGTTTGACGCCACTACGACGCTATGACCTTTGTTTGTCCTGTTTTTACGTTCGATTTCACGCATAACGCGTGATTCTCGCAGTGAACGGAAAATGGTCAATTACCATCCCACCACAGTCACAGTCCTAGTAGAGTGACTGTGATCCCACTGATTCAGGCCAAATACAATAACGAAATCCACGACTGACGCCACTAAGCTTTACGTAATGTAATTAATTATTCATGAGGTTGATTGATTCGACGGACAAAAAAGTAGTCTAAGAATAGCGTGTCGTTAAAATAATGTTACAATGGCTTTGCTCAGACGGTATACTTTTTTGGAATTTACCACAAATTACTTGTAAGGCTAAGTATAGTAATGCAGTAGGGCATGTTTAATGGTTAGGGTTGACCAATTTAAAATTTGAAATGTTTACAAAAAAAAGTACAAGCTAGTAACCGAACAAAAAAAAATGCAACCAAAAATGTTTCAGGGAAATGTACAAATAAAACATCGTGTCGTGAAATAATTGCGCTGGTCACACTCTTTCAGTCCCCCTCCCCGTGATTTCAAATGTTTGTTTCCCCCCCCCCCCCCTTATGTAAATTCTATGTTAAGATCTCGTGTGGTGTGACAATTTCTTTTTTTACGAAATTGCAAATTCAATCAATATAATTCTTCCACTTTGAATTTTATCACTATTTTTGAAATAATAAAAGCATTGCACCTTGTATATCGATGTGCTTGGCTGAATATTGTGCTATTAAATTACAACAAAATTCAATTCATGAGCTGTGAAATTTATGTTTTAAAGCGGGAGGGTCGTCACCTGCGCACACGCGGGAATCCCAAGCGACGATAACAACACACGCTAAAACGCAAAGGCTCATGGGTAGACGCTTGTTTGTAAACAATGACACGCTATCCATCTGACGCATGCGCAGGTGACGACTCCCCGCTTTAAGTCTTTAACTATATTGCTTTCAAATCGATTTTGCTTACGGGATAGTTATAATGTTTGTTGTTGGAATGATAGGGAAAGCTTCCATCTGGAAGTGATCACCTCTTCCATCCTGGCACCTCAATATTCGTATACAGGTACTGGGGCTGTACGTATTGGACGATGAGGACAATTGGTATATCTTATTATCGCTGACAGGGGTGTTAGGTGCTATCGAAATATTCTTATTGCCTTTTTGCCCAGAAAGTCCAAGATGGCTGCTGATCATCGATCGAAATGAAACAGCTGCCAAACAAGGTGAGTCGGTACACATCACGTGACATTGTGTCAACGTAGACGGCGCTCTTCATTAATTGTTGAGTCTTGAAGCGCCCAACGAGAACTCTGTACTAAAACTGATTCCCGCTTTGTATATGCTGCGTAAAACCTATATCCGATCCCTGACCCCTTTAAGCATCATACAGACTTCAGGTTTTGTACGGTTAATGAATAAATTTAATCTAACAGAGTCCTGAAATTGAATTCACTGGCGGATCCAGAAATTCGGTGTGTGTGTGGGGGGGGGGGGAGGTCCTATTGACGTGGCCTCCGGTGGGATGGGCTTGTCAATTGATTTGTCAATTTTTTTTTGCCGGCTGAAGGGGGGAGCGCGCGCCTGTCGCACCTCCCCCTAAATTCGCGCGTAGAATTAAGAAGTCACTCCTGAAATAAACTACTAGTATGCACACATGCAAATGGCGTTTGGGTGACTACAATATTGGGCAGTATTTTAGTTGATCATACACCACTACCTCTATCTGACTTCAGTGCTCAAATATTTTAGGATTTTCAGCCAACTCATTTTACAGGATGTTCACAATAATCAGAGAGAGGTACAAATTTACTCCGCTGTCGTTTACTATGTTGTTTACAGTTATTTTGTTATTTCTAAACACAGTTGAAATATCTTATAATATTACAACTCTGTGTTCTTTACTAGTATTTATGCTGATGTCACAGTGATGTCAATTGCGACCGCCATTGTTTGAAATATATTTGTTTATTTGACATACGAATGTGCTCTTCGCGGAAAAGGGCGCCCCAAGTGCCTCTTGTTTTAATTTGAATATATGTGTCGAGATATTTCTATGAAAAAAATAAGTAAAAAATAAATATATAATCTTAAACGACAGTATATATTACAATGGTCTATTCATGCATAACTTTAAATGTTTCTGTTTACTTTTGGCAAGTGTTGATATTTTTGTGGTTTTGATTTGTCATCAGCTCTCGCGAAATACACTGGCACGTCGGACGTGACGGCGGCACTTACCGAAATGAAAATAGAGAATTTAGAGGAGAGCAAAGAACCTAAAGTTGGAGTCAAAGGGCTGTTCACAAATCCCAACTACCGAATGCCGTTACTCATCAGTGTGGTGTCGCACGCTGGTCAACAGTTATCGGGCGTAAATGCGGTCAGTGAAAACAGCGCCATCATGCGTTACATTTTTGCATATCAACTCGTGAGATTTCCGATGAAGTGATTGAGGTGTACTCTGGGACAGTCAGACATATTGTTATGCCTCTTGGTCAACACTCATTGCGGTGTGTTTCCAAAATACAGTTTATCCTTGTATACACACGATTTAGGAGGCCATGGGAACGTCCTTTTGGACACTAGCTGTTACAAAACACAGGGATCATGGTAGAAGAAATTTTTGAAAACAAAATTCTGCAAGGAAATTTACCACAAAAAATAATAAACCACACATTTTGTATAGAAAAGCAAATGTACAGTAACATACGTGTAAAAACCAACATTGTTTTTACGCTTTTCCCACCCCCTAGGTAAACCCTCAAATATACAACCGATACTGATTATATTGCAGGCCATTTTGTCAGACAATAGCGAGGTCTGCCCTAGAGACTTTCTGTGTAGCGGCATTGTCGGACAATCTATTAAACTATCTCGTTTTTAAATGTTCGCAATGACCTGTCGTGTTACAGTGTCACCAAATAAGGACATGTTTGCTAACTTGGCGTTATCAAATATTTGTCAATTTGACCTTTTGCTCTCTCGACACAGATATTCTTCTACGCGACGGAGATTTATGAGATGATTTGGCCAAACAATCCAAGTGCGGTAGAATACGCTACGGTGGGCACTGGCGCCATCAACGTCTTCATGACTATAGTCTCGGTAAGTTAAAGAATCAGATTGTGCCTGATTGGCTGCTCAACCCCAACCCCTAACAGTCAGACCAATCAGAGAGCAGCTTGTTTGTTGACAGGTTTTTTCGACGAATCAATTTATCTTTTATATATTCGATTCAACTGTACGTGAACAGCACGCGCCCCGCAAAGAAGGCATTTACAATGAAGTGCGCCTTCTGATAAGCCAAATGACGGATAGATATTGTTCACTTTCCCGGAAGTTGTAAGACCAGGGTGCAGAAATACGCCTGCTTTGTAATGGTGAAAAATACAAACATGTCAGTTTGCTGACAGTCGATAGAGGGAATTTTATTTTTTGTGACGTCGATTGGTACGTCTAGAAGCTTAATATCACGCGTGCAAGTTTACGTTACACCCCAAAACGGCATTCGCGCGCATGCGAAACGCCGTATCTTCGACTTCCGGGAAAGTGGTTTATTGGCTATGAGCGTAAGGAATAGCAAAAAAGGATCTGATCACGTGAATATTTTGGTTGTGGGACTGCACATGCGTGCTAATACCTAACATGTCTAATTATGTTTATTGAATACGATTCATTTCAGGTTTTTATTATTGAGAAAACTGGTCGGCGCAAACTACTTATTTTTCCTTATATAGGTACTGTTATTTTCTGTGGGATAATTACACTATCACTGAGTTTAACGGTAAGACTTATGACATTTATTATTTATATTATTTATTTATTTATTTTTTGGCGAGTGAAAACAAGATAACATGACCAATACGAAGAGTCATGTGAAATTTATGACCGTGCACAATTTATAAATAAATATTACTGGTTTATCATGTAGACAATCAACTCTATACTATACATCACACATATAAACGTCCCTCCTTTATTTTTTTGTTTTGTTTTTAAAGTATAAATGTACAAATGTCGAAATAGAAATTGAGGGTATTTGGTAGTATTTAAAACCTCTCTAATTAAAATTAACATATATGGCGGGTGATAATCACCGAGCGTAATACCCACACCTCGTCCATGAGAAGGTCGGGGTAATTAAATAAAT